AGCTTACCATATGAGCAATTCTGAGCCTACCTGAATACCTAAAAGAAGTAAATCATTCATCAATGACAAAGACTTATATGAATGTTTATAGTGTCTTATTCATGATTACCAAAAACAGAGGACAACCCAGATGTCCAACAAGTAAATGGATAAGTTGTGGTATATTCATCTCCTGTAACACTGCATGCAACCACCCTGTGAATCTCGGAATTGTTATGCTGAGCAAAAAAAGCCATAGAAGTCTCTCTTTATGGAATTGTAGTAAAGGCAAAACTAACTTGTACTAACAGCATTATCAATGATTGCTGAGTCTTAGAGACTTACTAATTCCAAAATATATGAAAAACCTTAGTGAAGTAATGGATATTCCTTGATTGTGACTGGTCATTACTCAGGTTTATGTATTTGCTGGAACTCATTAAATTAGACATTTTAAATTGATGTATTATATGGTGGTGTATGTAAATTATACCTCAATAAATTGATTTTTTAAAAGTGAAAGAAACTAAAAAGTCTAATGAAGATAGAATGGAGCTCATTATAAAGCACGAGTAAGAAATCTAGAAACTACCTATTGGCCATTTTAGTTATTTTTAAAGTGATCAATGATTAATGATTGAGAGAAGTAGCAAAATGTCATTCCCTTCAGTCTTGTCCACTGTCCATGAAAGGAATAGAGAGCATCAAAGAACCTGTGAGTCCTGACAGCTGCTGAATACTGTGACACCTACCGGTCCTGCCAGCTACTGAATACTCTGTGGATAAGTAGGATATCTGAGGAGAGATTCAGCTTCCACCCTGAAGTCTGATGAACCTTTGTGGAATTGTATAGAATTAGATGAAAGATGGCTTAAATGCAGATGTGTAAGAAGGTCATGACTCAGGGATTTTTTTAATTTGTTTGTTTGAAACTGGGTCTCACTCTGTAGTTCAGCCTGGCCTTGAACTCACTATGTAGTCCAGGCTGGCCTCAAATTCTCAGCAATCCTCCTGCCTCAGCCTCCCAAGTGCTGGGATTCCAGGCATGCACTCCCACACCTGGTAGGTCTCAGGTTTTAGAAGCAGTTAAAAATACAAGAAAATAGCCAGGCATGGTGGTGCACACCTATAATCCCAGCACTCAGGAGGTTGAGGCAGAAGGATTGCTGCGAGTTCAAAGCCAGCCTAGGCTACATAGTTCAGGGCCAGCCTGAACAACATAGTGAGACCTTGTCTCAAAAAAACCAATGAAAATTAAAACACAAGAAAATAGAAGCAAACTTGCATGAGCCATTAGTCAGTGGTGACAGACCTAGGGTATGTGTATGACAGCCGGCTGTTTGTATCATTGAAAGTTTTAAAAGGTTGCCATCACTATATTAGGAACTTTTACAAATAGATTAGATTGGTCATCAACCAGGTAGTACACCATGGTATTTGAATATATCTCTCATGATAATCATAAAAATAAGATGGAGACAAAAAAAAAAAAAAAGATGGAGAAGTATAACACAATTGGCCTTGCCGGGGATTTAGCTCAGTGGTTTCGCCACCTGCTGCGCAAGCGCAAGGACCCGAGTTCGATCCCTGGTACCAAAAAAGAAGCACAGTTGGCCAGATTTAACTAGATTTTTAACTGGATGACTGATACTATCTGAAGCTAGTAAGCTAGAGGGAGATTTTTCTTTAATTCCTATCTTAAATATGATGAGCATATTTGGAAGTAACTTAAATGAGAACATCATTAGCATGCTGATCTTTAAAAGCCTATTTTTGGTGAAAACTATAAAGTTTTAATAAACTGAAATTTTAGGGCATGTCTACAAAATGCAAAATCCTTATTCAGCTATAAAGAAGAAAAGCATAAAAATGTAGGATGGGAAAAATATTTTATAGGAGTATTTCAAGAAGAATAATTCGGGGACTTGAATTAAACATAATTTTGTAAGAGTTCACAAAGTAACTATGGCTAACTTAATAAAAAATGTTTTATACTCACCACAAGGGAGATGAAGATGAGAATCTCACTCATTTCTGTTGGTGAGATCAAATGTGAAATACTGTGTTTAGTCTGGGACATCATCTGATGCTGTTTAAAAAATAATGCTGAGCTGGAAATGTAGCTCAGTGGTAGAGTACTTACCTGGCTTGTGCAAGCCCCTAAATTCAATCCCCATAATCTCAGTAAATAAATAATAAAAAGAATGTTGAAAAAGCTAACTCTTGGATAAAACCTTGAAAGGAGCAGTCCGGAAAACAAATTTTACTGCATAATTTTGCAGCTCCAAAGGTTAAATGATCCTGTAGATGGACACTTACTCTTCAAGGAAGAGAATCCTGTCAAGAGAATATATTTGTGTAGTTGATAGCGTGTTTGTTCTTTCCTAGTGCTTTTGTAAGCATGATTCTCTTGTAAACTTGTAGCACTCCTTAACATCTTAAAAAGGTAAGAGGGAGGTCCAGTGTAATTATCCTGATGGATACATTTCTGTGTCATCTTTAGCAAGTGAAGTTGATTTATTCTTGTTCCCTTCCCTACTCTCAACTAATTTAATGTGGTTATTGCCATCTTCCGATATAACTGGTCAGTGCTTATGAAAACATGTTGTAGCCTCAGCTTGTATTGAATGGTTTAGGGTAATAATTACTCTGCACCTTTAATCATGTAGGCATTGGGATGTGATACTCATACTGTTTTTCTAGGTGGGGGATTAGTTCTTTCCTGATTTCCATTGTACAGACCCGGACTTCTCCTCTTGCCATTTTGGTTACAGAAATGTTACCAAAAGAGAATTATTGCATGAGAAAAAAATCAGGAAAGCATTGGTAACCATAAAGGATTGCATAAACATAAGGTAGTGTGATTGTAGCTATGTGTACCTTGGCCTGTAACAGATTTGTGCTACCCAGCCTCTACTGGTTATAACACTAGCTCAGCTGTCACATTTATGTCTTATTAATTATCCAGTACATACCTGACCAGAAATTTCCACTCCTCAACCCTCAAGTTCCATTTATCTACTTTAACCTTGCTGTATTTTTTTGCATCAAATTTGTTGAAAGGATTAACACTTATCTATCAAGAGCACCTTTGTCTTTCCTTTTTTTAACTTTATCATGCTTCCATATTTTCATCTTTCCCTCCCATTTGTTGTGGTTTGACTTCAACAAAAGAACCTCTCCTGTACACTAGATCCCAGGTCTCCTGGACTGAAAGATGGAACTCTACCACCATCACCATTACCATTTAACCCCTTTCTCATGGAGTCAAGGTCTTCCCATCTTGAAAAGGCTTCTGACTGAGACTTAGTTGTATCTACCTGTTGTTACTTTTTCTGTCACCTCAGAACTTTTTAAGCAAATGAAACCTATAATTGACGTAAGATTTTCTTTCAATGACAAAGTATGATGTAGTAGAACACAGGCTGAGGGGCCAAGGATTTAGTTCAGTGGCACTGTGCTTGCCTCACAAGTCCAAGGTCCTGAGTTCAATCTCCAGTACAGGTGGAGGGGTGGGGGGGACACAGGCTAAAGTCATGACAACAAAGTAATTTTAGATTGTGGTAAATGCTGCGAGGGAAATAAGTATCATGAGGTGAGAGAGTAACCGGAAAGGTTACTTTGGATGAATAGTAGTTTGAAATGAACTTTATGTCCGAAAGTTTCAAAACCTTGATGTCTAGGAAAATGAGGAAGTTTAAATGAAGATGAGAAAGCATAAATAATCTCAATTATTTACAAATATTTTTTAACGGTACTCATTACATGATTTTTTTTTTTTTGGTACCAGGGATCAAACTCAGGTCCTTGCACTTCGTAGCAGACAGCAAAACCACTGAGCTAAATCCCCGGCCACATGATTTTGATTATAACATTTGGGCTTTAAATTCTCATTTTTAAGGCAGAACATATTTCTTTGGTTTTGTTTTGTTTTGTTTTGTTTTGTACCAGGGATTGAACTCGGGACCTTGCACTTGCAAGGCAGGTGGCAGTACCACTGAGCTAAATCCCTGGCCCCAGAACGTATTTCTTAATAATCATTGTTAGATTTTATAGTCTCATATATCTTTTTTCCCCAGTATTAAATGAAGAAAAATAACCTGACTAGGACATTATGTTCATCTTTTTGTAGTTGATTCAACAGACATATATTACTGTTAACATCTTACTTAACATCTTAACCTGGCCCTGACAGGCAGTGGAGATAAAAAGGATAACCCTTTCCTTCAGTGAACACAACTAAAGAAATATTTAGGGGTAATCTAGATGATTTACATTTAGGATTGACTTTAAAATAGGTCTACTGTGGCCATTATAGAAGAAGTTTGTGTCTCACTAGTTTTAATAAAGTGTTTTAAGGATATTATCATACCATCTTTAAAATAGTTGTAATTTACCAAACTTTTATATTCTATTAGAGTTTAAATTCCAAATAGAAAGCAAACACATGAATGAAGGTATTATTATAATTGCTATATGAGTTGAAAGTTAAAGATAATTTCATCTAATAAAAAAAGTTTTTAAAAAGATAATTTCAGTTGGGTTAGGCATGGGAAAGTTTCACTGAAGAGAGAGCAGGTCCTGAGTTTGATCCCCAGTACCAAAAGAAAAAGAGTGAGAACTTGTGTTCCATCATTTGGATGAAAATGATGAAAGCTGATTTGGGGAACTGGTGGAGGAGGGAAGCACCAAACATGGAGATGGGATTCAGTGTCAAGGTGTATTTCCAGGACATGGGTAAATAGCCTTGACTGGAGTGAGAGGTTTGTATTTGGAACTAGTAAAAGATAAAAGTAGAATCTTTTAATAGAAAACAAGATTTTTGGCTATACACAGTAATTTTCTATAACCCTAAATTCATTTACAGTCAAGTTTTATATTATGTAAAACATCACAGTGCGCAGATTTAAATTGTTACCATGATTCTAAATAAGTCTTTGCATCCTTAAATATGTTCTGTAAATTCTGAAGCCAGAGTCCTTTACTCCATACTCAGGTTGCAATAATGTTTTGTTTTTCAGTTACTTACACGCCAAGTCAATCATCCACAGAGACCTCAAGAGTAATAGTATCCTTCCTGAAATTTGTCCGCGAAGTTTGAAAACATCCTGACTTTTCTTCTGTATTTTGTCTTCACATTACATACAAACAGTTTTCATGCTAAGTTCAATATACTGTAAAGGAAATTAATAATCAGTTTGCATGAAAGTGTAGTAGAGCCGGATATAACAGCCTGCTTTTGGTTTCTGAATGCCTGAACACTACAAGAAAATCTATCAAAAGTCTTCTTAATAGTAGGATTTTTCTGATTGCTTGCTTACATTCTGCCTGCACAATAAAATGGATAAGTTTTATAGCTATCTCCTAGTTTAACAGTGAGGTGAGGAAAAACAGTTTTTCTTCCCAATGCCCAGACTAAGATCCTATCTCTTGGGATCTCTATTCCCGTAAAGTGCCTTTATAGCTTTCTTAGTAGTTCTAAAGGATATCTGGGCCTACATGACCAAAATCAGATGGAAGAGTTTTTGGATCTCCTGTACTCATAGGAAAGCATCTCACCTCATCCTCACACGTTTCAAGCCCAAAAAAATCCTAAAAGCAGATCTTACAGGCCAAATAGAACTAATTATTGTTTAAAACATATTTATTGACCTCAGGGAAATAGAAAGTACTACATTTTTTGAGCATATCATATTACAGAATTATAGAAACTAGATCTTGTGCCTAAAATATACCTAATACTCTAATAGAAAAATGAAACACATTATTTTCCTTTACTTACTGCACCTCAGATATATTTCTTCACGAAGATCTCACAGTAAAAATAGGTGATTTTGGTCTAGCCACAGTGAAATCTCGATGGAGTGGGTCCCATCAGTTTGAACAGTTGTCTGGATCTATTTTGTGGATGGTAAGAATTGAGGCTGTTTCTCCATGGATTACATTTTTAGACCCTGAGATGTTGCTGAATTACTTGAAAGTTTCAACTATTTTCATAGCTTTCAATATTCGCAAAAAATCAATGTTTTTCTTACATAGTTTTAACCTTTTTATTTTTAAAAAGAATATTACAGACTCAGTTTCAATATATTCCAAACAAAAATACACATTTTGTAAATAGTATTTAAATTCCACTCAGAATTCTGTTGAAAAATATTTCGTGTTCAAAATGTTCTGTGCCCTTTTTTTTTAAAGGTTTACAATTTAAGACAGGTGTGATCTACAGCCATTATTCTTGTTTTGCTAAGAGAACTATTCCTTTTAACAAAGGCTGTTTCACAATCTTATTTAAGCCTAAATTGAAAAGTTACTTCATTCAGACTAAAAACTTTCTAATTTGGGGGCAGCTGGAAGAGGAAAGACAAAAGGAAAAAAGAGACAATTTTAACAGTGTCATCCTTGTGCTGCCTTGTATGGCTCTTCTTTCTCTTTATTCCTGTTTCTACTTAGTGGAAAAGAAGACAGAAGTTCTAAAAAGGATAAAACTAAAACTTCTGCAAGATGCTGCAGGAAGCTACTAAAAAGTCAGGTATAGGAATCATGCTGTAAACCAGTGCTTCTTGAAGGGTCTGTAAGACCTTTCAGGAGGCCCACAAGATTTTTGTGAGACCAGATTTTCTTCATATCCTTCACATCGAATGTAGAAGCAAATATGAGAATCTGTCTGACTGCTGTTAAGCCAGACATTAAGAGAATCACAGTTCCATTCTCACTTTTGTTTTTCTCATTTTGTTTTTTAAAATGTAGTTATTTTCTTCATTAAAAATAAGTTTTCTGTGTTAACATCTGATGGTTATTTTAATATAATTTAATAGATTACCAAGTATTTTAACAGTTTATCACTTAAGCTTAAAATGATAAATATCCACAGATAGAATCCATAAAAGCAAAAGCTCTATAGCGTCTTCAGTAATTTTTAAGAATAAAAAGTCCTGAGACCAGGGGCTGGAGATTTAGCTCAGTGGTTTTGCCGCCTGCTGCACAAGCTCAAGGACCCGAGTTCGATCCCAGGTACCAAAAAAAAGTCCTGAGACCAAACAGTTTCAAAACCACAGCTCTAAGATGAATATAATTATCCCAAAATCTTAATGCAGTTTGAAGATTTAAGTAATCTAATCTGTACTATCTAGATAGAAATAGAAAAGTTGCAAGAGTTTTCAAAGCCATATTTGACTAAATTCCGTGAAATGTATGCAGCAGTCCCCAAGAAGAGAATTCCAAGGTAGGATTCTCAGTTGGTCATGATAAGCCTACGATTTCTCATGAAAATAAATGGAATTAGGGTAGGTGGAAAGGTGGAAGAGAAGATACTGGATTTAGGAGATCTGTACTCTAGTACTCTGGTCATTAACTTACAGGTTTCTTAACATCCTCTGAGTCTCCCTTTTGGAATCGCTGGGTTGGAGTAGTGGGTTTTTGATGCTCCAAGATTCAGTAATTTTAAGTAGCTAGGGTTTTTTTTTAATCTTTAATATGTGTTTAACTGTTTTAATTAAAAATTATAAATAAGCAAAAAATAATAATTATAAATAAGCTAATTAATGACTGTAATCTGGATCCCAATCCCCTTGAAGGCACACTCCTGTAATAAAGGTCTACCCTAACAAGATAGGGGCAGTTGCAGAGCCTCAAGTTAATGTAAACAAACCATTCATGTGTTTTAAGGGTGTGTTTGTTTTAACTAGTATGAGAGACTTGACTTCAATCAAGTCTCCAGGTTTGTCCTTCCTTTTTCAGAAACCTCAGATATACTAATGTATATTTCATATTGGAAGTTTTATATTTTCTCCTAGTTACTTCTTGTTGATAATCGGATAGGTGAGTTCATCCTTTATCATGCCAAGACAAGGAATAGCCAATATTCTTTATTGTTAAACAGATCTTTCTGAGTTGATGTTGCCTCCAGAAACAAATACAGACCATCCACAGACAAGGAGGAAAGAGTTTGGTCAGTACTAGAATTATGTGGTCCTGTGGATTATTTATAGTGATCTCAACTTTCTTTTATTTAAACCTTAGAAGAGATAGAAATCTTTGTGAAGATGTTTGCAAATTAAATCACTAAAATGAGAATCAGTCATGAATCTCTTGTAAATAGGTAACATGCAGATTTTCACCAAACTACCAACAACAGAGAAATCAAACTAAATTTTAAAAGACAGTTCTTCCTGGCAATTGTGGTGCATACTTGCAGTCTCATCTGCTTGGAAGACTGCAGTAGGACAATCTCAGGTTTCAGGCCAGCCTGGGCAACTTAGACTCTGTCTCTAAATAAAATTAAAAGTATTGAGTATGTAGCTCAATATTAGAGTACCCCTGGGTTTAATCCCCAATACTTTAAAAAAAAAAAAAAAAAGACAATTTTGATTTTTATTCTGTGCCTCACAAAAATTGGTTCAGGCCTTAAACATTATGTCCTTATCATGACCAGCCTCTTAGTGTTCTGGCTTGTTCATTTCATCACAGTTACATATGGCTTATTTTGTATTGTATTACTAAAAATAACTTATCAACAAAGTACACAACAAACACAAGTAAACGTGACCTTCACCACCACCAGCCTTTGACTGTCTTCAGAATATCCCATAGTAATGTTTAGGTCCCACTCCCAGTTGTAACACTGAGCTGCTGACCTAGGTGCATTCTGGGCATTGAGAGGTTCAGAGGCTCCACACGTGATTCTGATTTGCAGCTGTAGTTGTGTGCCATTATTCTTTATCCTTGTGAGATACCTGCCTTACCGAGACTAGTTACCTTGTCCTGTCCTGCAGCCATTTTTGTAGTTAGTAGAGCTTTTGCTATCAAATTGATGTTTTCATTAATATGCTTGCCTTCTTCAGTTCCTTCCAAATGAAAGAGTACAAGAGTTGCAAGGTGAAGGAAGAAAGCTCTTAAGCTTATTTTTAACCAGTTATTTGTTGTTCTTCCTGCAGTGGTGCACACCTGTAATACCCAGCATTCTGGGAGGCTGAGCTAGGAGGAATGCAAGGTCAAGCAACTTAGCAAGACCCTGTCTCAAAACAAAAAAACTTTCAAAAGTGCTGGGGATATAACTCAGTATAAAAGCCTTGAGTTCAACCCCAGTACTGGGAAAAAACAAAACAAAATAAAACCTAGTTATGCAATGCAGTGATCGAACTATATAAAAATGTGGCACATATGATTTGGTCTGTTTCTCTATACAAGAACCAGCAATCAAAAGATTCTTTAAACCAACTTCTACTAAATCTATCTGCCATTACTTTTGTTAATAAAGCATCTATGGCCCATTTATACCATGGCTTGGAAGGGAATGAGTTTATCATCCTTGAAATTCTACTGTTACTTTCTAAGGTACCCTGAGATGAGGAAAATCTTCTGTGCCAGTGGAAAACTTAAGTTTTAAGACAATTACTACAGTAGTTGTACCTGCCCTCAAATCTCTTTTTGCCACAGGTCTAGTAGCATTTCTTTGCTGAATTGGGAATGGGAAGTGGGAACTGACTCTTGTAGGATGAGTTGTGGGGAGAATTCAAATGATAGTGACAGTATTTTTGAGAAAGAAGGTGACTGATAAAATTATAAAATCTTAGGGCCTGGGATTTAGCTCAGTGATACCACA